AATGTGCTTGTTTGAAAACAACCCTTGAATCTAAAATGGAATGTGTATGCTTAGATACATTCTTCTTCCCAATCTATGCTTAGAAAATGTTCATGTATATGTACACACATATTATTACACAATATAAACATCTCTAAACGTATCTATTTTACTCTATACTCTTATTTTGTAATATATATACGTGTAACGCTTAGAGATGTATACGTGTACGATATATGCACACATATTACACAGTACGTGTCCGAATATTGCACGTGTACTATGTTATAATATAAGAGTATAGAGTAAAATAAAAGTATGTCAGTCCTAAATTACACTTAAAGATCAACGCACGTGTACGAACCATAGCAACCATCGAGCCTAAACGATGATACAAAAGCAGCCGTCGGATCCTAGAAAGAAGTCCCACACGCACTCCACTGTCAGTCACACCCACCCCAACTCCTCCCTCGAAATAATGGAGAATCCCAAAGCACCCCCACCCCCGCCGCCCGCCGCCGCCGCCTCCCAGAAATCGGATTCCGGCCCGCCGCCAAACAAGGAGGATCCGGACACGATTCGCAAGCCGAAAAGACAGAGAAACTGTCAGCTGCCCCCTCTCGACTCCGTCGTCCAGCTCCGAGGCTCATCGAACAACAGCAGCGGCAGCTTCTCTTTCACCTTCGACACGAAAATCCCCGACGACTGGACGCCGGAGACGACGCCGAGGTTCGGCTCCTTCAACAGCTGCATAAAGGAGGCCGGAAAAGTGAGAAGCGACGGAGATGAGATTGAAGGGCGGAAAGAAGGAGGCGAAGTGATGATCATCCGTGACGGTGAGGACGATGATGATGATAAGAAGAGAAGTTTGGGTTAGTTTGTAATTAAGTTGAAAATGATGGGTTTTTAAAGTTTGGGGGTTTATTGGGATTGGGACCGCTGACACCAGTGGTGTGTAGGGGACAGAACTCAGAGGTTAGGAATTTCCTGACAATTTAATCTTTTCTTTTTGGGTTAATTAAGGATTCCATCGTTGTTTACATTGGGGACGATGTAAAGAAGCATAATGATTAATGAAAAACACCCTTTTTTTTCTACACCTTTCTTCCCATTTTTAAATTTGTTTCTTCACTCTCCATATGCTTGCTCACCATGAGTTGTCTTCTATTAAAAAAAATAAATATATTCCACCTGAGAGAATAACCCAGTAAGTGAAGTATAATTTTCATATCTAAATAATCAAAGACTTCGATTCCGGTTAACAGAATCTCAATCAAATAATCTATAACACACGCATGATGAGTGTGGAAAAGATAACAGATTAGTATGAATTGATTTGTGTTTCGGTTGTGATAAGATTAAAAACAATGTATGTTTGTCAAATTATGATCATCAATGACGTGTGTTTTGACTGTACTAAAGTTTGAATAGTAATTATTTCATAAAAAACGGACTACTTACTACCTAACAGCTAACAAGGACTATAGTAAATAAATGTGGAAAAATTCTTATTACTATTATCCTTAGTAATAATAATTACAGGAATTATAGCCGCACGTGTAAGTGTTGTTGCCATCATGGTCCATGATGTCAACCACAATAGACACTGTGTGTACAAATTACATGAATGTGACTAAGCTCTTTACAAATGTACTGTTTGCCTTTTTTTCTTTTTCTTTTTTTAAAAAGAAAATAAAAAAATTTCGAGACAATGACCCTATGTATATTATTTTCAAAAGCAACCATCAACCAGTATATTGAATAGTACGACAATATTGGTAAGAAAATACAAAATACTCCGTATAATTTTAAGTCAAATAGAAAATTTTAATGTACGTGTAATATTTAATTTGCAAAAATATTTACAATTATTACTGGAAGGTGTTCTATGGATGAAGTACAACTTGTAAACCAAACGTGCTTGGAGTGTGGAAGGCTTTGATCCTTTTGTTCCAAGAGGAATAGCCTCTCATCATATTGCAGCGGGTACATTTGGCATATTAGCGGGTCTATTCCATCTTAGTGTTAGTCTGCCACAACGACTATACAAAGGACTGTGTATGGAAAATATTGAAACCGTATTTTCCAGTAGTATCGTTGTTGTTTTTTTTGCAACTTTTGTTGTTGCCGGAATTATGTGGCATGGTTCGGCAACTATCCCGATAGAATTATTTGGGCCCACCCGTTATCAATGGGATCAGAGTATTTCCAACAAGATATATATATATATATATATATATATATATATATATATATATATATATATATATATTAAAGAGTATCAAAGTTTATCAAAAATCTGGTCTAAAATTCCTGAAGAATTAGCTTTTTATGATTACATCGACAATAATCCAGCAAGTTAAGGTGTTTTATGGATGAAGTCTGTCTTGTCACCTTAGTCGATAAAGGAATAAAGAGGTAAACCAGCTTAATTTATTATAACTAATGATCGATCAGTTCAAACCAATAATGAAGATCGATCTAATTTAATTAAGCAAAAAAGCGCTAATCAAGTGTTTGTTTTTAGACTCACTTGCCAACTAAATTGCCAGCAATTATGAATATCAAGTTTTTCAAGATTGAATCTATCATCGCTGTACCTAACAAAGATTGAATCATCATCCACGTACACTCTCAAACACAACTTGCGTACATAAGAAAAATGGTGATTTTTCAGTTAAGTGTTATGTTACGTTATCCAATGTGATGAGTTACATTAAAAAAATATATATTATTTTTGACGAAGAAAAAACTCACAATGCCACAGATTACCTGGGATTTCATCACTATATGCCTAATGAATTTCTTTTATTTTCTTTGACTACATTAGTTTTCCTCTGCCCCACATTCAGTGTTTCTCGTTTGTTGAAAACAGTACACCAGATTTACAAAGCAATGAAGAAAATTAAAAATATAAGTAACATGTAATTTGTATGAGTGTAAAGTAACATGCAATAATTAAACTAAATGGCAATGGAGTAGACTTCTCTAGTTCTCTGCAAGCAATTCATATGTCGTCGTTCTACTCTTCCGTTTTTAGTGAAATAATTCATTTAAAAAAAACACGGAAAAATAGTTAATCCGTAGTCTAAATGTCCGCTTAGTCCGCCGTGACTTAGTCGGCGCCTAGAACGGAAATTTTGTCGAATTTTTAAGCGGCCGGCCACCGCATAGCGTCTAGGCGCGATTTTTACAACCTTGTTGCCATATTCGATCGGGCCTTAGATCGAGATGCTTACTATCCAACAAGGAGATCAGTCACTTGTATTCAACCCGGGAACTCTGAGTTGCACTAAATAAATAAATAACACGTTGATGGATTATCTATTTATCTTCTTAAATACATAAATAAATGTTTTCATTAATAGGACTTAATTGTACGTAATCTCAAAGTAACTACCTTGATGGATAATCTATTTATCTTCTTACTATTTATTCTTTCTTTTTAATTTAACCGCATATTGTCACACATTCAACTCCTAATAGACACTTTTAATTTGCATGTATAAAATATTTGATCACATATGTTGTTTGCTGCATTGATATATTTGTAAAACGCAACAATTCTATCTGTTACTAACTTGTTTCAGTGTGTGAGTTTTTTTTTTTTTTTTTTTTTTTTTTTTAAAACAGTGTGTGAGTTAATTATGCGTCAATGGACCAAGGTAATAACCCTAACATGCAGTAAATATAATTTCAAAAGATAAATTTAAAATCCAAATAAATAAAGTTCAAATTAAATTGCCTGCAACTGTTATCCCATGTACCCCATGTAGTTTTTGTACCCACAACTCCACAAGGAACGATTTGTATTTTATTTATTATTTGAGCATGATTATTATCATATATATTAGGTTGAACATTGGATGCAATACCTTAATAAGGAAAAAAAGATTAAATGCGATAATAGGCTTCAGGTAAAAGATGAGTTTAATCTCAACCCTTGATCGATCTAATCAAAATTAACAATCTAGATTGAAGACATACTTTTAAAAAAAAATGCGGTGACAATTTGATCTTTTTACGTATTGGTCAAACTTAAGGTGCGTCGTCTTCCTTATTAAGGTGTGTGGTCTCTGTGCTTAAAGTGCGTCAGTTTCATTCTTTAAGAACTTAAGGTGCGTCAGTCTAAAGCTTTAGGCCAGGTGTGTCGTTCTCCTTCTTAATGTGCGTGGTTTCTGTGCTTAAGATGCATATGATTATGGATATATGATGAAGATTGATTAATAATAATAATAAGCCCCTAGCTAAAAAGAGTCAATAAATAATTACCCATATCGATTAATACAAGCTAGCATACATGCATGTGGTACAAAGAGAAGATAGAAGATAGATAGATATATAATTTTAGTATAAAAATAGATAGGGAAAATGGTCAACTAACGAGAAAATCGGGAGGGAGAGTTAGTTTTGGTACCAGAAATTCAAAAAATAATGGAGTTGAGAGAGAAGGAGAGATTTATAAGGGAGAAGAGAGTCTCCCCGGAGACTGGGGATTATTACATACATATACTGTGCGGAAATAATGTTTTCTTTTTTTATGTAACGATAAAAAAAAGGGCGGAGGAGAAGAGGGGTAGGCTTCATATCTTTGGGTACTTTTCGGTGACGGAATTGTTTCTCTCTCGCGCTCTCCCCGTTGCCGATCGTCTCCCTGAATGCCTCACCAGTGTTCAGGGTACTTCAATTCTCCTCCTTTTTTCTTCCATTCCATCTTAATTATTTCTAAATCATTTTTTCAATTCTCATCTTAGGGATTTAATTACTTGTGTTCATTCATCGATTTATATATGTGATTTCACTCAAACGTTAGGTTTTTTTTTTTTTTAAAAAAAAAAAAAAAAAAAAAAAAAACTGTATAGTATGTGGAATAATCATGATTTTGAATGTAATGCGTTTGAAAATGGAGGGCAATTGGTTCATGAGAAGAACAAAATCTCGTTTTCTCTTTTGGTTTCAAGAGGGATTTCTGGGCATGGTTCATTATTGGAAGAATCCTAAAAAAAAAAAAAAAAAAAAAAAAACTGTTCTGATGAAGAAGTTATGTTTGGTTTTATGAATGGACGAAATTGATAACATCAAGTTGGTACTGTGTTGTATTTTGCAGTCAATTGTGGCGACTAATAAGCGGAGGAGCGAGGGACCAATAAAATGGTATATTATACTTGATAGTTTTTTTTTCTTCTTTTTTTTTTTTTTGTTTTGTTTTTTTTCATACAGATGTTGAGACTAATCTAGCTAACTCTCCGTAATACCTCATTCAGGGAAACTCTCCCATGAGCGGTACTTGCTATCATTTTCATTATTTCATCTCATTTATCTCATGATTAATATAGCATGTTGTTATAATTCTATGGACATTTTGTAGGTGTTCGGAGATTAGCAACGCGGTTATTAAATTCTATATCTTTCATATGCCGATCAAGTAAGATTCTTTCTTTTATGATAGGCTCTTGTTTTCCCCCTTTCTAACACCATATTTTCCTGTTTCACTTTAAGAAATTCCTTTCCTGCGTGTCTCCTTGCAGTTTTTATTGTTGGATCATGACAATGTTTCATGAATAACTATGGCATGCTACTAATTCCAGAAGGGTTTTTTGTGAAACACTGATGGATTAGGTTGTTGTTTGCCAATGAAAAATGATTGTGTTTGTAATTGTGAATTTGCAGAAGATGTGAAGGCTAATCTCCCAGTGAAGACTAACCCTCTAGGGATCCTCTTACTAGTAGGAGCTCCCTCATCATACATATTTGTTGATAAACTCATCTGAATGAGATTCTTCAAGATGGCTGTAGCAATTGACCAACATAATTATGGTTTCAAGCTATTTGGCCGACCACCAAGATGCAAACTCCAATCTTACTCTCAACTTGATTTTTCCACAACTGAATTAACCCAAACAAATCTCACATATTCACATGAACATGCTGCTCTTGACTTTCCCAACATCCACAAAAGTTACTCCACCCCTTGCCTATCTCTTTCCACAAAACTGCAGGAAGATAATGATCTTGAGACTAATCCAAGAATTGAAATCATAGCTGGCCATGGAGCTCCGCAGGTGCATGCTCTAGTTGTTGAGGCTGCCATAATCCTGGCATCTGGAATCAATCCTGAGCCAGTATCAAGTGGCCTAGGTGGTGCTTACTTCCTACAAACCAGTAACGGCATTAGAATAGCTGTGGCAAAACCAATTGATGAGGAGCCTCTGGCTGTCAATAACCCAAAAGGCTTTGGTGGTAGGATGCTGGGTCAACCTGGCCTAAAGCCCTCCATCAGGGTAGGTGAAACTGGTTTTCGAGAATTGGCTGCTTACCTTCTTGACCATGGTGGATTTGCTGGTGTTCCCCCAACAGCACTTGTCAAGATTTCTCATGTTGCATTCAATGTGAATGGTTCTGAAACGATGTTTTCTCCACCTTACAAGATTGCCTCGCTTCAACGCTTTGTGGACCATGATTCTGATGCAGGGGACATGGGACCTTCATGCTTTTCAGTTGCCTCAGTTCACAGCATTGGGATTTTAGACATAAGACTTCTTAACCTTGACAGACATGCTGGAAACATTCTATTGAAACAAAGGCATCATGCTGTTGAATCAACAAAGCTTGTCCCTATTGACCATGGACTTTGCTTGCCAGAATCACTTGATGATCCATATTTTGAGTGGCTGCACTGGCCTCAGGCCTCCATACCATTTTCAGAGTCTGAAATTGAGTACATTTCTAGTCTTGACCCATTCAAAGATGCAGATCTTATAAGAACGCGGCTTCCTTCCATTAGGGAATCATCTGTTCGAGTTCTTGTAGTTTGCACCATCTTCTTGAAGTCTGCTGCTGCTTCTGGGCTGTGTCTTGCTGATATAGGCAAAATGATGACTCGAGAGTTCTGTGGAGGAGAAGAAAGATGGAGTGCTTTAGAGACTCTTTGTTCAAATGCAAAGGCTAGCTTGGAAACCAAAGTTATTGATATTGACATCAACATTGATCAAGATATACATGAAGAAATCAATGAGGTTTTTCAGTTTGATGTTGAATCTGAAAGAGTCACCATTGAAGGCTCAAACTGTCCTAAAACCTCACGGAGCTCTCTAATGAGTGATAAGCCACCAAAAATTCCAAGGTTTTCATCACTAGGGTCAAAGAACTCATTGGATGATACTATGTTAAACTTCCTGTGTCCAAAAAACGTTTGTGATGATGATGTGAACAATAGCGATATGGATGGTGATGGTACCGGAAAGGATGATTGTGATTCAAGTGAGAATATGAAGGGTAGTGGGTTGATGAAGAGCAAGAGCTACTCTGCAGCAGGAACATACAAGACTGACTGTGGAGGGATTTGTTTTGGTGAGATGAGTGGTAAGGAATGGTATTTGTTCTTGGAGGTTTTTGAGAAGCTCTTGCCAGAGGCTTTTGAAGCCAGAAAGTGTGGTGGCTTGTCAAAGCAAAGGTTGGGATCTTCATACTAACATTTAACAGAATTTGGAATCCGAAAAGCTCTACTGCCTCCTGTATCTAGTGTTCAATATAGGTGTAAGTGTAAGCTGAAATGACTTCATTTAGAATGGTGGGTAGAAGATTAGCTTGAGTGGAAATGTGGTGGTCAACTTGTCATCCTTTCCACTCATTTTCTCCCTTCTCATCCAAATTTATCTTCTTTTATATTTCCTCACACTTTTTTTCCCTTTTTTTTTTCTAGTGTAGAAAATACCATCCCCCTATTACATTGTAAGATTCTTTTGTGATAAATGATAATTATTAGTTGACACATGCAGGCTACCCTTTTCCTCTCCTCTCCTGTTAAACTCCAAGCAAACAACTATCATTCACACACAATTGCTGTTTGGTTCCTGTTTTCTTGAAACAAATTTCTTATTGCAGATTTTGTTTTTCTAACCAACATTTATTATGAATACTCTCAATACAAACTGACTTGTAGGTACAAGCATTTCTATATAAGCTGCTTTTTTGGATACCTCATTTGTCTGCACAAGAAATCTGGGGATTTCCTGGAACTGGTACGCTCCCTCGTTTCATTTCGAGCTCTTTTTGAGGATAAGATCTTCCACTCCCACGGATGAGACCTTTGATGATGCTTATGAGTGATTTATCGTTGAGCAACGACTCCATTGTTACATGCATGCCTGAGCGAAGAAGAAAAGGTATGAAATCAGCCTCAGATCACAGTTTCATTAATCTTTTCAAAGAATTTTTCTTTTTTCCCTTTGGGGAGACGAGATGCACTTACGATATCTCCAGTAGTGTCTTGGATTTGTCGGATCATTTATTGTCTCCTCGACTGCAGGGCGAGTAGCGTAATCCTCTTTGAGTGCTAGCAAATCCTGTTCATTAAGTAAATCATGGTTCCAACTTCTTTATCAACACAAGATTCTTATATGCTGTAAATACTAGAAATTACCTGGAGAGGAAATATTGACCACATTGATGGGGACTCAACATGCTTCCGCAAGACAAAGCGGGCAATTTCAGGAGTACACTCATCGGGTGGCACCGCACCAGATCCCACAACAGTTTGGAAATAGCGACGCCTTCTTCCTTCATCTTCTTCCCACCAGGCACGCAAAGTGGAACAATCATGGCACGATGGAGCACATACCTGAGGGTTAAAAGAACGAGGTTTCTTTGGCTGTAAATCTACAAATATATAATATAGATATCAAAGAATTTACCGTCATATAGCTGTATTCTGAAGGAATACCAAATTCTCGTCCAGGTTCACTTGGCATGCGTTGAATATGTAACCCTATTAAACCAAGCTCTTGCATGACCTGCACCAAGACGGTCGTATCAATAACTACCAAGTATAAACTACCAATTTTTTTTTTTAATGCCCGACTATCATACAGGATTAACACAGGCAGGAATCATGCCGAGATCTTCCCCACAAGTGAGCATATCAGATGAGTTCATAAGAACAGGCAGAGTGTTCAAAGCATTTTGACGCCACAGGCTTTCTTGTCGGTGGAAGTAGTAATCATAGTATAGTCTTTTCAGAACATTTTTACTGCAACACAGTACACAGATAGTAGGTTTAAATTAAGTAATTGCAGTAAAATTTATAATTCATCAAAGTAAAGGCTAGACTGATACTACTTTCAAATTCAAGATAATCTGGAACCTACCTGTGCTGATCTAAACCCTTGAAACTTGAAGTGTCTTCAAGGTTGAAACGAGGATAAAACTTTCTTGGATCTTCTCGATCCCGGATAAGGACTACTTCCTGTGACAAAAGATGAGAGGACCATACATCAAGATTAGGATAAGTGAAGTTCAATAAATAGAAACACTTCAAGGTTGAAACGAGGATAAGTGAAGTACCTGTAAAAGATCAAAGAGATTCCTTCGCAGTTTCTCTTCATTCTCTACAAACATGGATCTCTCTAAGAATAGCTTTAGTCTTGATGAGAGTGTCTTCTCGGTATTGCACTCCTCTTTGAACTACATTGATGCTCAGAGAAAAAGTGTTACTACATTGAACTTTCAGGTGGTAAGGTGTAATTTTCCTCAGAATAAAATGGCATTTACCTCATAAAAATCTTTTTTATACTCATTTAAGAAAGTTGAACTCAGAATAAAATGGCATTTACCTCATAAAAATCTTTTTTATACTCGTTTAAGAAAGTTGAAGCTATAATAGTCCAAGAAGCTCCAAACTTTTCCTGCAAGTGAACACAGAAAAACAATGATCAATATCAGACAACAAAGCATAGTTACATATGATGCACTTCAATATTGACAAACATTTTGTTTCTATCTATTCATGATTTCGTGAGACATCTGATCCAACCCCAACAACAAAAAAAAAAATAAAAAATAAAAATGATAAGACATTAGATATATTGTGATTAATGATTATAGTGTAAAATATATCAAGTACCTGTAGCAACTCCAATCGAATATATGGACGACACAAGCGGTCAAAATCCCATAATCCTTCTGACTCAAGCTCTTCCTAAAGGAACCATTTAGTGCATCAATTTAAGATACTACTCATCCCCTTGCAAAGGTACAATTAAAAAAAAATACAAAATCCTAGTCTCAAACAAATAAACAAAAACTAATACCAAAAAAAAAAAAAAACATAGTATCATTTTAATTCTACTACAGTTTCATTTGGCAACCATAATCCACATAGCACTATGGACCATGGTCCACTATATAACAACTGAGTTTCAATCGTAGGTGTCTGGGTTTCACATGAAGGCCCAAGATCTCATAAGTAGGTCTTTTTTAACCGATGTAGTACTACCTGGCTAATAGGAATAGATGGACGAAATTTCCCACAGAGACCCGTCACAGCATGATCAGGAAGCTCCCATATTCTAAAGAAACCCAATATATGATCAATCCTATAAGCTGTAAAGTACTTTCCCATCTGCATAATAATCAGATAATAACATATAAGTATTGAAAAATACAACCCCAAAATGCAAGGTTCTTGAAAAAAACAAAAAAAAAAAAACCTGGGTCAAACGAGCACGCCACCAAGCATAGTTATCCTTGGACATCTCTTCCCAATTATAAGTGGGGAATCCCCAATTCTGCCCGTTTTTATCGAAATAGTCAGGGGGTGCCCCAGTAGAAGTGTTCATGCGGAACAAATTTGGATAGACCCAGGTATCCACGCTATTTCTCGAAACCCCAATAGGTAGGTCACCTTTCAGCACTACTCCTTTCTGTTTTGCATATTCTGCCGCTTCTAACAACTGTCATCATATATATATACAGTCATTTTTCCTCAATAGGAATGCACGGTTGTTAAAATCAGCTTTACTTACTTGCATATGCAAATGGAATTGGATATAGTAATAAAAGCGAATCATTTCATAGTTAAAGCTGTCCTTCGAGACAAGTTTCTCAAGCTGAAGAAACAAAAGCAACATCGTTAATGGGAAAGATAAAACATAAGAAATCGAAAAACTTCCTTAACTAGTTTGAAGTCCATGTACCTACCTTCTCTTCTGAAAACCGAGAAAAGCGGCCCCACTGGCTGTGATCAGACGTTTCAAAGAAGTCTCGCAGGAAACAGAAGGCTGCATAGGGCTTCAACCAATCCTGCCCTCAATCACGTATAACATCGAGAATGAGGAAATTAATACCATTTGTTTTGTCATTATTCCTTATGGACTTGGTTTTACTAACTTAAAATTACAATATCAAGAGCGAATAGAATGAAAAAATAGTTTACATAAACCTGATTCTCAGCAAAATAATTCTGGAAGGAGCTCGAATTGAATATTCTGTCCTTGTCTAGCACAAAAATTTTCTTGGCAATTGAAAGTTTTGTAGCCATGGTAGCATCATAATCTAAATCCTGCAGTTATCAAAACCAATCAAATGAGAACTACTCCCGTGAGAATGTAAGAACTAATCTCATCCGTCCATCTAAGATGATCAAGAACTATATATATATATATATATATATATATATATATATATATATATATATATATATATATATATATATATATATATATATATATATATATATATATATATATATATATATATATATATATACCTACCTTTCTGTCTAGCTGAACTCTTGCTTGTTTTATCTCTTGCTGCACATTGAGTGGCAAAATACATAAGGTTTCAGTATTTGCTTCGGGGAGCATGTTTTGATAAGCTCTTAGAATGAAAATGAGATGGAATTAACACCTTAATATCTTCTGGAATATCTTCGGAAAGTGCATCTACTCTCAGGTACATTGGGTGCAACGCAAATACTGAGAGTGAACTGCATTGCAATTAAGTCACTCAGAGTTCTAAATTACAAAACGGAGAAACAAGCAATTTTTTTAGTTGTAATGAAAAGGAAACGAATTCGTATATGTCCTTCTAATTGTATAGCCCTGGAAGAGTTACCTGTATGGATACGAATCCCACCACATCCCGTGCACTGATGTATCATTAATCGGCAAAAGCTGAACCAAATGAAAGCCAGACTCAACGGCCCAATCAACGAGCAACTTGAGATCAAGAAACTCTCCAACTCCTACATCGGCCTCGGATCTCACAGAAAACATGGGGATAGCAACACCAACACCCCGCCAAGGAAATTCCTAATAACACAGATATTAAACTCTATTTAAAGATCATACTTTTTTTTTTTTGAAATACTTATGATCTTTTACAAGGTAGTATCTGTTCTATACTTTCTCAAACATTTTCAGCCCAAAGAATCTAAGCCCCCACCACCGGGGTTTGAACCTTTGACCATCCACTTGGATGGATAACCGGGATGTCATCAGACTACATGGTAGTTGGCATTTAAAGATCATACTTAATTATCAAGATTCAAGGTTTAGGCTTTAGAGAACCAAAAGGACATAAAAATTGTATTATTGAGGGATTACCCGCATCATGCCATCTGAAAGGATCACATATTTTGGTTGACTAGTTTCAAAGTCAATACAAAACTCCCAATATGCACCATATTCCAAAGAAAATGCTCCATCCTGGCCATATTTGCAGTACTTGTATGTAAACAGTATTAAGGAAGATTGACGAAAAAGAATAATGAGGAACAACGACATCATCCTGCCTATAACAAGAAGAACCACGAGGATATTTTAAAGGAAAGTCATCTTTTCCCATCACACAATCTGCTTGCCAAAACGAGTCACCAGCATAATTGAGCTTAACTCCATTTTGAACCTTCCACTGCCCCAGTTTTAAGGAACTCCCGATCACATAAACCTATAAATTTGATATCTTGAATCAACTTTATAATTGATAGCTTATATCAACATCATAATTTACCAGAGGCAATGAAATCTTACAGATGTTCCTTCATCTACATGTGGGCAGCATATTTTGAACTGTATGAGGGCCGAATCTGTTTAAAAGTTCATGGGATGGCAATTGCAATAATTGATTGGCAAACTGCAAATAAAATGTACAGAGGAAAAACCATCTTGGCCAGAGAAAGTTACCTTCCTGGTCCAACTTGCTTTGAATGGCCCCAAGGGGCATTTCCACGTCTAAATTCCATGTTCTTCGGAAGATGACATCTTTAAATGCACTTTTGAAAGGAATATCATCAGAACCAGTCTGAAATTAAAATTAAGTAGGAATTCACTTATTGAAGCAAAGAATAAAAACTGAATACTAAGTAAGAGCTTGTTGAAGATACACTCATACGCTCAAAGAAAAGGAGGCCAAAAAAAAAAAAAAAAAAAAAAAAAAATCACACCTGCCAAAGATCACGAAGCTCTACCAACAGACCATCCTCAAGTCCATCAGGCAACAGTAGCTTCCTCTTCTTTCCAACCTCCCATCTCACAACATTTTTCTCATCATCCACCACATAATAACTGTATTCACTTTTGAATCCCGGAGGAACAGGTATGCTTCCGGACCATATAAGCTCATCCCCCTGATGAGAAGGTCTCAACAACAGACCCTTTTTCACATTCCATGAACCGAGCAATGCTTCTGAACCGCACACTAGAAGGTGCTGTCCCCATTGGGTATAATATGGTATTCTGAAGCTCAACCTAACTGACTTGAGAGACTTTTTGCCACATAATAACCTCAGATTCACCATCTTCTACAGTTCTACTCCAATAAGACCACTGAAGACCTGAGAAACCAAAAAAAAAAAAAAAGGTTTTTTAATGAGTATAATTCCTCAAGACAAGAAATACTCATTTGGAAAACAAAATTCAGACTCTCCATGTTAAAGTTCACATTGTTTCTATAAAAATCATTATTTGATCATAATGTAATCAAAATTAAAGTTTTGAATCCCAGACTATAAGGAACAAAAGACCAAAGAGGGCAATGAAGTTTCATAAAAAAGAACTGGTTTTTAGCATGCCCAGATTGAAGTTGAGAGAGAACTCAAGTGCAAATCAATTAAGATGCATATACATGTTCTTGTAGAATGAACTTCAGCTAAATTGTAGCTCAGACAAGATAAACCCCAACGGAAATGACAAATGATACCTTTTTAGAATGGAGAGTACCCTTTGCTCCAAAATGGGGAGGCTTATCACAATTCACAAACTGGCAATTAAGGGCTTGGAGTAGTTCAAAGAAAAGCAGAGAAATTTGAGGAGGGAAGGAAAGTGAAGAAAGCTCGTGTCTTTCTAGTGGTGAAAAGAGAGCAGTAAAGGCAGCAATTGTATATTATCACGGGATAGTGACGGCGAGCGATGACTCGTTGGACAGCCCACTCCGGTGATCGGTGGCCGGAAAATTCAAGGGTTGATACTTGATACTACTTCACTGCTCTACTTCACTTGTCCTTGATAAATCAAGCCTGGAAAATTGTGGAATTAGGTCAATAGTATAGTTAGGTCCTAAAATTATCTAATCCAACAATTCAAAACAATTATAGTAAAGTTGTTTAAAAGAATTCATATATGTTGTTGAAATGTGTGTAGAAAACTAGAAAATACATAACCAACAGTTGATACTAATTACATTAAAATTTTTTTTAAAAAAATTCATATCTTTTGTTGGAATATGTGTTAAAAGATATGTATATCAAAAAACAGTTAAGATAATTATAATCTAATGATTGATAGTAATTACGTTCAAATTTATAGAAGATTATATTCTATATCTTATTATAAAAATTAATACATTAATTATCTACAAAAAGTTAATTAATCAAACACTTATATTGATTATCTAATTAAGTTAAACAATTTAATCAAATAAGTCAAATTTAACTATGAGCTAATCATGTTAGCAACCACAATGTTATTGTGTGTTAGAATTTAGGTATTTTATTTTATTTCATTTTTTGATCTGAGAAGAGCTCAATTGAATGCCAAAACAATGAAACCTAGCAATGTAATAGCGGTATGATGTAAATTATTACTTCTAACTGATTTAATTTATGAATCGAATCATCAAATGTATTTTAGGCATTTGATGTCATTGGTTCTGTGGCCGTCGTTATTTCGTGGACCACGATGCACGTGCATTGCGATTAAAACGGTGTTGTTTCTCTAAGTAAAGAAACAGCATGTTGTTACTGTTAATGGAGCGCATATTTTTTGGTGTGTTAATTGCCAATTGAAATTATAGTGTATCTAAACTGACATACAGTGCATCTAAACCGACAGTGCCTCACGTATTATTTTATATATTATCAAATGAAACTGCAGTTATATCAAAATGATACTATCGTTGTGGTGAAATGAAACTGCAGTGTATATAAAATGAAATTGAATAACATTTTACATATTTGAGTGTATATTATGCAATGAAGCTGTAGTTATATCGAAATGATCATACAGTTGTGTTTTAATGAAACTATAATGTATATAAAATAAAATTAAATAACATTTTCACATATTTGAGTGTATAAATATCGAATGAAACTGTAGTTATATCAAAGAAACTGTAATTGTGTTGAACTGAAACTGCAGTGTATACAAAATAAAACTGAATAACAGAGTTACTTTTTACAGAACGGCGCGAAACGGGTGCCGTTTCTTTTCATTAAACAAAATGACGTTATTTTGAAACTCACTGCATAATCGATTATGCACTGTGGTGCACGATATCACTTGTGTGCCATTTGGGCCAATACCATCACTCTCATATTTTATTTGGTTTCTTTAATTGTCACGAAGTAATGCTTCACAAAAAATATAATAAAAATAAATAAAAGGTTAGGATGTATGAGCTGTGAAGTTCTAATATCATTGCAATTTAATCTAACCGTTGGTAGTAATTATGCTAAAATTTATGAAAAAAATTATATATCTTCTGTTGTTATGTATGTGGAAAAGATATACATACCAATGAATAGTTAAAATCATAATCAAATCATACCGTTGAAAACAATTACATTAAAATTTCTAATAAAGCTTTCATATCTTTTGTTGGAAAATGTGTGAAAAAGACACATATACCAATAAATAATTAAAATCATTATGATCTAATCTGAAATTGAAAGCAATTACCTGAAAGTTCCTAAAAAGATTTTAATTGTATTATAAAAATTAGTACATTACCTATAAATTTATCATTCATTTTTCTCACTATATTGATATTTGAATATAAATTCCAACACAGGTAAACCATAGTATGCCATTATTAGTGAGAAAGCATCATTGTCCTTCTATAGTTCTATTGTAAACTTTTAGAGGAGGTATGCAATTAGCAATCAAAACCGACAAGAACATTAACTTTTGCACATGTTTAAAATTGGTTTAGATTAATATAATATTTTATGTAATTCCAAGCTTTTTCTATCATTCCTCAGTTTCTCCAGCCTGTATGGACCAACCAAACTTTGGTCCCATACAATCATGCTTATCATTTTCAGTGCTCCCATGCATCCCAATATGTCCACAAAAAAAGTTGTGTAATTTGTCACAAAAATACACCTTCTCCCATCAACATTTCACTCTCTTGCTTCTTATCAACTAAATTTTATAATACAACAATTTGTCATTTTCCCCTTATTTGAAATTTTCAAATACATAATTATTGATTACCCTTATTTCAAATTTTGTCTTTTATTGTGGTTTATTAATAATTTTAAGAAATATTTTTGATAATTAATTAAAATAATTACATTTAAAAAAATCACATAAAATTAATGAATAAAGTACTGACGTTTTTGTTGGGCACGTTTACTTCTTTAACTTTGTAGGGCATATGTTCTTTTATGGACAAAACTTGTGACATCCCATGTTACTATGTTAGCATTGCCATATCCAATGAAGATTATTGAATTATGGGTAGAAAAGGACTAGGTTGTTAATTAGCCATAATTGAGGATAGCAAGTCCTATAGTGAACAAATGAATACCACTATCATTTGACTACTTATATACATATATAGGCCTCTATCATTTTCAAGTCCTGTCTTTGTCCCCACCTTGCCTAATATACTTAAAAGAGGTAAATCGTGAGTCGCGCAATCAACTCAGCAATCAAACCCTAATCTTCATGCGCACACAAGGGATCCAATCAGCGTCACATTACTTAATATACTTAGGACATAATTATGATTAGTATGAAAATGCGATTTCCCTAGTTCCTTCTTTGATCATTTTACACTACTTACCATCAAAAGTGTAAATAAACAAACAACTTCCTTCATTATTCTGTACAAATAACAAACAAATAGTTCAGCACAACTCAAGGGTGGGAATTAAATGCTATTTTTACTGCTGAAAATTCAACTTTTAGAAAGATATTAGCAACAAAAATGTGTTGTTTATACACTTGCTGGTTTCAATCTCTCCTACCATCTTATGTAGGAGAGATCATTCGTAGCAGCGACGATGCATGTTTTACCAGGCCTGTCACCTCTGCGACTTTGACCTGAAAATGCATCCCGGTGCTCGATTTTTAATCAGTATTTACACGCACAAAACACATATATCCACTCAACCTGAAGCACGGATGCCCTTTTGGGCTTTTCGCCTTGCTCCCTCCTGCTCCGCTGCAAAGTTCTCTTGTCTTTGCTTTGTTTCGCCTGTATGAAATAACACGTGGAACGTAACTCCTCTTTCTCCGATTACACGAGGTGATTTTCTTAGTGTCGTGTTATGTTGCTATGGACGTAGTGCAATTAGAAACAAAAGGAAAGCCCATATGTACGGATAAACGATGCCTGTGGATGCTGCAATACGAAATGCATCAAAGTTAACTTGGATGAATAACACACTCTTAACCATAAAGAGGATAGGAAATAATTGAAAATTAATACTCCCTTCATCCCATTTTATGTGTCTGGTTTGGATATCGAGGTTTGGCTGAAGTTATTTTTAATTCAATTTTTCATAATGTTAAGTTCAGTATTAATATACAAAATTTATATATTTAGAAACTACATTAAAAGTACTATTAAACACAAAAGTCAAATATAAAAATAAGTAAAAAATACTAAAGAAAATAAGCAAAGAATGAAGAGATGGTTTGACCGATGAATAGTAAATATGACAGGTAAAATGGGACAGAGGGAGTATTAGCTTCCAATTTTTTTTGTGGGGGTGGGGGCATTAAAGACAATGTACTTGCCTGATGATGAGAAATGTGAAATTGAATGTGTCTTGTCAGGAGGCTCTGCATCAGATATACTCGTTGATGGGGGAGGAACAACAGCATAAACTACATTTGGCAGTGGCCTTGAAGAACGAACTTTATGCGGACTAGGTGCTGAAGCCTCTCGTTTTGGTTCCACGAAGGGAGCAACATTTGGTGCAGAGACGGGAGATGCAACAGGTGGCATACGCCTATGCCTAATTTCCTTAGTTGGGGACCTCCGTTTTGGACCAAATGGAGGAGCAGGAGGCTTGGCCTCGTGAATCTTATGTGGAGTAGGCACAGGGGCAGGTGCAAGAACTGGCATGGGTATTGGAGAAGGCGAAATTGCAGGAGCAAGATTGGAATCTTGATGATGATGATGATGATGATGGTGGTGGTGGTGGTGGTGGTGATGGTGGTGATGATGGTGGTGATGGTGGTGGTGGTGGTGGTGATGGTGGTGGTGGTTATGAGGAAGAGGGGCGGGAGAAGGTGATGGACTACCACCAGCACTGCCATTCACAGTAGAAGAAAGGCTGACTTGTTTAACCCTACCAAACACCGTGTGATTCAGGCCAAGATTTTTTTCATGAGAGCCAGTAATCGTTTGAGCCAACTGCTTCTGCCTCGACTTTGAGAGAACCCCAACCACCAAAAAGACTTGCGACCTAACAATGGTGGGAGGGTCCACTGTTGAACCCTTCGAGTTTATTAAGCTGATAAACAAATTCTGCACCCAAAAAAAACAAGAATTAAATAACACCATTGCCAAGCCATTGCTAATAGTAGCATGTAGAATTCATAACGACAAAAAACCTCATATGGAGAAAGGTGTAAGCCCGACTTCAATTGTTGTGTTAGTTCATCAAAGTAAACTTGTAATTCTTCAATGGAAAAGTTCAAGGTGAAGTTGAAAACGATCTGAACTTTCTGCCAGGTGAATGCTTTCTGTAAGGGCGCAACAGTAATCCCTCCTTTGAATTTCAGCACCTCAAATGATACGGGGTTCCCAAACAAAGATTCTGTAGTCAAGCTCATATTTGTTTGATGATTAAGTATATATACAAAGTTGTCTTGGATGAGAGCCTTGGCTGTTGGAGAGATACTCGTACTTTTGACATCAGAATCAACAGCAAAGACGACCTTGGTTTTGTTTGATAGGGCTGAAGTTTCCAAAGAAAGTATATCCACCTGTTATAAGAAGACCGGATAATAATTGGAAGATTAGAAAGAGAATTAAGAAACACATTTAAAAACAAATAAATAAAACCACACATGAAACACAAGAGGAGAGTTACGGGGAATACTTTGGTGTTGGAAACACTTATTTCATCCAAAATTTCATCTTCAAGCTGCAAGATATGATCCTCCAAGAGAGAAACTGGTTTCTCAAGCATAAAGCTCGCTACTATCTCATGCCCTGGAAAATTGCAAATACAAAATAAAATTTTGGGATACTGTGAAAGGAGTCTGAGATTGGAATTAAAATAGATGCAACCATGTTGATTAAGATTTTTTTTAATCAAAATTGAGTAAATAAGAAAGACAGTAACATGAGAGACTTGACTCCAGTTTCTCGCTCATATAATGACTCATAAAAATAAAACATTTACCCACTTATATAGTTACATAAGAGGCAAAGACAAAAAGGGAGAAACCCACAGCAGCCTAAATCTCCCTTCCCAACTAGAACTGTACACAGTTAATAATGACTATAAGTTCTTACTCAATAACTTCTAAGCACAAGGTTGTTTATGATTCATTGTAGCAGGTTTAAGCATTGCCCCAAGTACAATCTTTTTTTGGGTATACTCAAGGTTTCCATCATCGGACAGGCACTTTTGGGTGGGACAACTAGCCTGGAGATTGAAGGCTGCTCCGTTCCCAAAACCAAGGATCGAACCCTTGACCTTTGGTTAAGGATGGATGAGTCACTTCCACTCAACCACACCCTCCAGGTTGCCCAAGTACAATCTATGAATCAACATGATCCACGACATAATTAACTTGAATATTTGGGAAAAGATTTTAAATTAAAATGACAATCATACAAAGGTAGACAAGTATAAAAATTGGTGGGATGTTAAGCCTAGTGTACCCCATTCGATCACACTCTCACTTTATTCTTGACATTCTAAGCCCTATGAAACTTGGTATGCATCATATTTTGTGGAGCCTAGATAACATGCACTAACAAGGACTCCACCTTAGAACACAGAGGAAAACCCCCCGCAATTTTCATTCAAGTAATGGGCGATGCACCCCTAGCTGATTGAGTGTCGAATAAAACTTTCACCTAATGATTACCAAATGAAAAACGTTAGCATAGAAAGTGAAATCAGAAGTTCATCGGGCAGAGATGTACCACTTTTTTGTCAGTTTGAGTGAAGCCTTTTATTTTTAGATCATTTCCCTGGCAAGATTTTAATAACAGGCAACTTAATTTCAAATAAGTTGCCATTCTTGGTAGTTTATGTGTGTCTTTTCCCAGTCTAGATCTAGATTTCGTGAAATAAACTGAGATGGCAACTATTACTCAAATTTAACAATTGGGCACCAAAAATAAAATAAAATAGAATAAAGAACAATCATCTCCATAAATTTCAATTCACTGAATCCACACCAAATCAGAAATTAATTTTTTAAAAAATAAAAATCACATAACCTGCAATTTCATAGACATCAAAATTAACCAAAACTAAAAATGCATCAGTTCTCACAGAAATTTCAAACACCCAAGCAACAAAATTATATATACAAGAAGGCCCAAATTCCAAATTTAACTGATACCCAGTTAACTAAATTAAGAGCAGAAACACAATTTTCAAAGAGATCCGCCTAAACTTCAAAAATATGCTAAAATTGACAAGCAAAACATCAAGAAAAGTACCTCCAAACCTAGAATCCAGACCCCGATCCTCTGGATCTCCATGGTGGAAGAATGGGAGCAAGAAGAGAGCAGAGAGCAAGACGCCCAGACCAAGAAGCAGAGCAAACACGCATCTGAAACTCACCCTCTCACTGATTCTCCAGCAGCACCTTCTGTTTTCCGCATTTTGGTGTGCCCTTAGCTCACCCTCTCCAGCTATGGGTAAGGGCTGCTCATCCTCCGTCTTTCCCATGCCCAGGAACAAATCCTACAGTAACTGCAATGTGGGTTTTCCCCCTAGTCTTGATGGCCTTTGTGGTTTGGTGACAAACTCTCCATAGCTGTCTCCTTCTTCTGCTGCTCTTCTCTTTCCTTCTGTCTTCCTTTTGCACTGTTGAGAGAAAAAATAAAGAATTTCTTTTTCTATATATTTTGGGTGAGAGAATGAAGAATATGGCACAATTAACAGTTGTTTTCTATGGGTTAGGACGGAATTTGGGAAGAGTGGACTGTGGAGTAGTAACTTTTTTGCACAATCAACTGTTCTTTGAAGAAAAAAAAAATGGCTTTTTTTTTTTCTTTAAATGAATAATGAATAATGGTGGGTGTTTTGGATCTTTGCAATAAATCCATTCACAACTTAAAATATGGTAGTTGAAGTTTTACTCTTTTTGACAACTAAGCTCATTAACCATTTCATGTCCAAATTATATGGAACACCATCACACACAATTTGAAATTTAAATGTGGGAAAATATATTTCCTATTTTAATCATTATAACTATTTTGTTCGTCATGTAAATCTATATACAAAAAGCAGTGACGTATTATAATATTTTTAAATAAATGACGAGTTAATATTCTGTGTAGATTGACAAATAATTGATGATTGATTTAATCCATTGTCACTGATTCATATTATATATATATATATATATATATATATATATATATATATATATATTGGATATTTGGCATGACTAAACTAGTGATTGACTTAACTTTCATTTTAATTAAAAATATGACATCATATATATATATTTTTTAAATAATGTTTAAGAAGATGACAATTTCATTTGCTAAGTTATATCTTGTATAGGATCAATCCCAAAGTTATTGGAGGATAAAATTAATCCATCACTTTTAATCCCATCTAACAAAATGTGATAACGGATTAACAACTAAAAAAAAAAAAAAAATGTGTACCCCTCTAGCAATTTTTTTGGTCGTTTGTATATCTTTCTTCTTCTTACAAAATCTTTGACCAACTCACTTCATTCTTAATTATTTTTTTAAGTACAGAACTCAATCCGAGAATTAGTTAAATTCTCACACTTCTTACAAAATATTTTCGCTAATAGTTACACCACCAATAATTTATGAACGAGTTTTACACTACATGTATAATTTAAGCACTAAAAATATGATTTCTCTAAACATTTATACATTTATTCAATGCTTTTTTAATATACTTTATTGTCTCATTAATGAATTCGATTATTTTGTTAATTTGCATACCACGATTGTTTGCAATGAATAGTCACAAATCATAAGTATAGTTTATAGAAATAATCGTTTTTCCTTTTACGGAAAATATATGCCTAAAATTGGATAAGACAAACACATTTTTTTTCCATAATGGATTGAAATTTGAACATGTAAAGTACATAAGTACATTGATGGATAATTGTTAATTTGAATAGTTGAAGACTTGAAGCTCCTTCCTTCCTATTTGAGTAGTTTTCTTTAATTTTATCCTTAGTTTTTGGATTGGCTAAGTATATAAACTCTATCCAATTGTAGCTAACATTATTGGTTCATGTCACCAAACTGACATAAAAATTATATGCAAGTCTCTATAACACAACATGTGTTGTATAGATCTAAATTTTGCATAAAGTTAGCTCTTTTTTTTACTAGTTTCAATTTTTGTTATTTATTTATTTATTTATGGACATTAAATTAGTACATTTCTTTATGTCATCGAAAAATAAAATTTGAGACCGTATTTTAAAAAGTTAGTGAAATTACAACTACTAATTATAGTTGTAAAATCGTAAAAAGAATAATGTTATTTTCGATCCCTTCATAAGTTCACATTATAGTTTGGTAATAAAACTCTTTATAATCACTGAGCAATGTTGCATTTTCCTCGATTTCACGTCTTAATTTTTACCTCTTTATGTGGCAATATTTGATTAATTATTTTTATATTTGATAAATAAATTCTCTTTTTAATAATAGGTGGGTCAACAAATTCACGGTAACCAATGAATAAAAAAAAATTACCATATCAAGAAGCAAAACTAAGAGAGAAAATAACGTCTTACTAGTGTGGTTTATCTCTCTAGTATGGTTTGGGGCTGCCTAACTATTACATAAGAGCAATGTTTACCTAATACACACTCTCAAGTAGTGCATGGCTGTGAATTTCCATCATACCCAACAAATATAATAATAATAATAATAATAATAATAATAATAATAATGTTAGTGTTTAGTATTGTAAACTCCCACGTGTAATTTGAAGAATTATTATGGCAAAATAGATAGGTTAGCTAGATAGTATGCTGATTAAAGATCTGGCATAATAGAAGCTACACTAAAGCCTTTGGAAACTAGTCTTTTGAACTACACCAACTTATCTTCTACAGCTGGCAAAGCAATTACACGTCCCGAGATTATTTTACAAGAATATCCACCTGGAAAGACATCCAAGGTAAGACAGTAATTCATGTTACATGGAATATATTAGGAATTACTTGTTTTTAAGAATTAGAGTATTATATATATTGTTTAGAGAGAGACTTCAACATGATAGAAGTTAGATCTACAAGAGGTTATCTTCAAGATTTGAATATCAAGAAACTCTCTCTGAGATTCCATGACACCATTGATGATCTGGGTTTAGAAGATTCTTGAGAAGAAACTCTACAAAGTTTTATCTTTGAACCATATTTCATACAACTATGGTGTAGTGGTGGGTGAGTCAGCGAGACGGATAGCGACAACGCAAATCTCCAAAAAGAAATTTTTTAGACTGCCGATTGCATGGATCTCTGGCCTCGACAATCCTCTATAGCTTCATCATATCATATTGGTATTTACCGAGTGGGGTATATCGCACATTAATTAGGTTGAGAATGTGTTCTCTTACCGTCTGTATGAATTGTTGTTGAGATAGTGGATTTGACTCACTAATGGTGGTCCCTCAGACGTAGATACAATTGCATCGAACTGGGTAATCAATACTCTAGCTCATTTACTTTCTGTTTGATTCACTTTTCCGCATTAGATATATTGTTGTCAAACTGTCTGGTTAAACAAACGCAATTAGGGTTAGCGATATTCAATATTCAAACAGTTGGGCTAATAAAGATAAATAAGAGTTCTTGATCGGGAAATACTGAAATCATAGATAATAATAATAATAATAATAACAATAATAATAATAATAATAATAATAATAATAATAATTAGACTTTCTGATTAGTTCTCATGGACCTACGTTTAGGGATGATAGTTTTCATAAAATCACTATCATATATAGGGTGATGCTCCTATGAGAATCACCCTTCCATGAGTCTATTAGAACCAATCTAGTGCATTTAAAAAACATATCTATGGATGAGATTAATTATATCGAGGGTCCAAAATTAAATAAATAAACATAACTTTGATTGCACGTAGAACAAAATTCAAAATGTTTGATATGGAGTCAGACGCTCAACCAACCTGCAACTCCTTTTCAATTTAGTTTGAGATTCAGGCCAACTGCTTAATATATACAGGTGAACCAATAAATATAGAAGCACTAACAAATTTCAAAACAATCTCTTGTCAACTTCCCATGTCCCAATATTAAACATTCATGTCTTGCAATAAATTTATTCACGGTTTTTTAATCTCACAATTTTTGTAATAAGTTTTTTATCTTCCCCCAAGTTAAATTCATCTTATTAATTAGTCGACATATGACAAGTATTGTGCGATTAAGATCAGAGTCATATTATGTCCTAACCTCTATTTATATTATCATAAATTTCTATTTATAGTATATATGATGATAATTAGGATACGTTTCAGCTTTATAAAATTACGTTAAAATTTGATATATACAAACAATTGTATACCGCTAACAAATACCTTAATTTCTACGAGCACAAACATATATATTTCCGCGTGGAATGGAAGTAAATGCACAGCTGTTGTTATCATATCGCAATTAACAAGCTAAACCACCACAACCTGCACATGTAACTCAGCAACATGCGCCAATTATATTTAAGAATAATAAATACTTGTTTTTTTTTTAATAAAAGTTTATTTCCAACAAATTAAAACAATCCATCCTCTAATGTAACAAATATCGTGTGTGGCGGGTCAATGATTCTTTTGTCCCCTTTCATGTGCCCTTTAACGCTGGTAAACTCTACTCTTTAATATCACCATCATCAAGTTACATCCGGTCTATGGCTACCTGTTTATATTTGACTAATTTATTTTATTTTATTTAAATATATAAATTGTACTCGTTGTGATGAATTATTGGACATGGATTATAAGATTATATTTTATCAGTTACATGACTTGACTTGTGGGTCGTTGTGTATTTTTAATTGAACGATAGATATATTTCGTTTCAACTATAGAACTAAGGTGTGATAGTTGAACTATATATAAATTTATATATTCATATATTATATGCGTAACAAATTTTAATATAATGCTCTGTATTTATATATACCGTGTGTGTGTATACATGCACACACATGTGCACATGCATGTGTATATATAGATTGACTAATTTTTAACATTAAGTTGACAATGTGGTATATTAAAATTTAGAAATGTAAATCTTAGAAATAAAATAAAAAAGAGATAAGGGTCAAATTAGCCCTTGAACTGTTTATGAAAATGTAATTAAATATTCGAACTAGAAAAAGTTTCAATTAGACACTTAAATTTAGAAGAAGAAAAAAAAAGTACAATTAACCTCATTTGACTTGTTATTGCAAGTAACCTCCCAGTTAAAGGTGATTGAAATGCTATATTAATATGTTTTGATGACTTTGATGGAATGGATGCCCAATTTCATAATAATAATAATAATTTATTGAAAACTAAATATATTTTTTTAAAAAGCTTGTGTCAAGCTTTAAAATTTACTACGGAGTATTATTGATAACATTTTACTAAAAAATTAATTTTTTTAAATAAAAATTTTAAAATTATTATTTAAAAATTTAAAATATTAATATTAATAAATTTTAAAATAAAAATTTTAAAATTTTAATATTAATAAATTATTATTATTACTTTTTATTATATGAACTAGGTATCCAAGTAATCAAAACATTTTGATGTGGCATTCCAATCACATTTAACTTGGAGGTTATCTGCAATAACAAATCAAATGAGGTTATTGCACTTTTTTTTTTCTAAGTTCAAGTGTTTAATGGGTACTTTTTCTAGTTCGAGAGCTTAGTTGTGTTAGTAATGTTATTATTTGTTATTATTATTTGTAATACTAAGTCTAGTCATACCATGTATTAGAATAAGTCTAATATGACTAGGCTATTAGTTAGGAGATAATAGTGGCTTAGTTTAATATACTCTCCTGTATCTCTGTTCTGTTTGAACTGAATAACATTTGTTT